GATCGAAATCCTAAGAGGTTTGGGAACCATTGCTCTGGATAACTAGCTGAATCAAGCTTTTAATAATACTGTTTATTTTCAATGTATTAGGGAAGATTTAAGTGTGCATGTGCATACTGTAGGCCAAATGACGATGTTGAATGTTACTAATATACTTATCTTCAGATCAAGTATGCAAGTGGAAACATATCTAAAATGATTAAATATCTGGCAAGTCACAAACGTTTAACAGAAGTCAAAGAATGAAGAATAATGCTGTTCATCTGAGAACACGACATTTCGCCATTCTGTCATCCACATCGCTCCAGTCCAGCACCATTCTAAATGTCGGCATCTATGCTGTGGGGTCAATGACAGTCTTCTTAACAGACATCGTGAGTGCAGGCCACATTCAACCAATCATCAGGAAATGGTTCTGGTCGACACGAAAACATCCACATGCTGCAGAATCAAGGTACAAGTGACTTGCAGGACCGCCACAGCTTGTCGGCGGATGCTTCGATCCACACGTACTGATGTCACTCTGGCTGCACCTGCACCCCTCCTTCTTCCCACATTTCCTTGTTCCAACCATGTTCGCAATAGCCGATGCACCATGCTCGCATCCATGTGGGTATCAGCTGCGATTTGACGTAAGGACAAACCTGCCCTTATCAGTCTGATCACTATACCCCTCGTAAAATTGTCTATCTGCTGGAAGTGCCTTCGTTGACGGCGGCCTGGCATTCTCTGCTATTACACGTATCTTCGAGGACAAAAACAACTTTCTTCGATAATTCGTCTGGCAGAAATAACGACACGAATGTTGCCCATTCTGCATGTTCCTTCCCTTATACCCTACTTCACATGCGTCAGAGAGCTGCGCATTTCACATCATTCGCATAACTCGGTGAGTTTTTCTTTACATTTTTAAATTTACCAAATAATGTTACTTTTTAAGATATATTTTTCTATAAAAAAGTAAAAACGAAATGGCTTAATGTACTGTTTCGAATTTTCTTTTATTTGCTGTTCCAATTTTCAGTCGAATGACTTTTCATTTAAAACTTGCAAACTGGAGAACCTCAGGCCACAGGCAGTGCAGATTTTTGGTCTTTTATTGTGCTAGTTAATAACTCAATAATTTACCATGGTTACGTAGATTTCATTTTGGTTGTGTACACAGCATTAAGATGCAGTTTCTCTGTTAATTTGTAAATTTTCTCAGACTAGCTGGAAATGGTAACTCACTTTGCTCAGATTGGTAACAGATTTTGGGATCCGCTTAGGTATGCAACGTAAAATAAAAATGTAAATCGTCGCTTCATAAATTAATCTGTTCGATGATATGAATGTTATGAGTAATATAATGTGATGGAAATTCTGAATCTGACACTGGATGGCAATCTGAATCTCAAAATGAAGGTTATAAAGATTATGGTTTTACTTAAATATATAGTAGTTATGGCTGACTGGATAGAATTCCTTATGTTTGGCACAGCATTATTGAAGCAAACATTATTATTAGCTTAACTTCTGCAAGAAGTATTCCCACCATTCAGTAATTACTACTTATGCTCTACATAATTATATTTTAGACGATGACAGAACAAAAAGAGATAACAGACATCATCTTTAGCAAAAACAAGTATAAAGAAGGAAAGATTGTATTACTGATGTCATATTAAGGATAAAGAAGTTACTTTACTTATTAATAAACGGACACAATATTCCTTAATTACAACTGTTTTACAGTTGAATACTATCAGTAAAAGTTTCAGTTTGAATACTATCAGTAAGAAACTTCTTCACTTTTCTTATGTAATTATGGGTGTAAACCATGTTAAATAAGAATAGTACAGTTATTAATTTTGAGATGACACATTTTGGAAAGATTATACATACACATACAGTAGTACCTCCCAATAATTGAACACCCATCGGACCAAGCATTTTGTCTCTTCTTCAAAGGATATATACTAAAAAATGTAATTTATTTAAAATTCAGCTTGTATCAAGCTCTAAGTGAATGATATATAAATATGTAACACAGTCACAGGTATTTATTTGAATTTGAAAATAATGAAAAATGAGAAGTCTTAATTAAAAATTTTTATTATTGCAAAAATATTTAAAATGAATAACAGAGTTTTTTTACTTACAGAAATTTACTGAAAATAAACCGTTACATGGGTCTGTTTCAAACTCATGCACTGCAAACATTTTATAAGCATCTGTGTTATGAAAGTACTTTTTTCTGCATGGATATTACAGTCGTCAATGAAGTTAAAACCTTCACTGTCGCCAACAATTATGAATTTTTTAATTGGGAAGTGTATTTTAAGGCAACTGTATGGTTTTTTTATGTCACATTTCTCATCTGACTCTTCTTTGTTTTCCTCACGGCTTTCCAAGCTCTGTTTGTTAAAGCTCACATCATCCACTAGAACTGATTTAAATCATGTCTTCATTAGTATCTTCATTAAACAAGTTATAAACTTCTAAATATTCTTATATCCGAGCACTACTAAAAATTTTGACAAGTTTAAACAGTTCATTTTCATCAGTAGAAATTTCACTGAGGGCACTCAAAATTGCAATTCCCAAAGTCTGTTTTTGTAAATATGGATTTAACAGCCTCCATTTCCCATTGAATGGCATTCAATGCATCAAAGAATACACCACAAAAATTGTTTTCTGCAATGAACCTTGGAGCTTCTAATTATACCTTGGTCTAAATGCCATAATATTACTGTTTCATTAGATGTGAAAATCACTAATTTCACCGATTTCATATTTACATTTGGTGGATGGGCAGGCAAACTGTCAAGAAATAGCAGAATCTACCTAATTTTCCCCCGACATTGTTTTGTCAAGAGAAATCAACCACTCTTGACATTATGCTCTGCATCATCCAAGACTTTTTAATATGTCAATAGGACTCATATTTGTATTTCTTTGTTTGAAGCATTTTTGTTTTTTCACCTTTCCAATTAAAAATGGTTGTTCAAACTCTCCTCCTATGTTATGACAAAGCAGCACTGTGAGCTATTCCTCAGAGCTTTTCTTATCAGAATACTTTTCTCCTTCAAAGCATAGATTTTATTAGGCAAAATTTGTTAAAATAATCAAGTTTCATCTGCACTTCAGATGTTTACAGCTTGATTTCCTTCACAAATTTCATTTAGGCTTTCTATCCAGTTCAGTTACATGTTGAATATCTACTGTTTTTTTTTTTTTTTTTACCACAAATAATCTTGAAAGTAATGTTATGCTTTTAATGTCTTTGCTTAAATTTTTATAACCAATCATTTGAAGATTTGAAGTTGTGTAGCCCAAACCTTTCTGAAATTTCTTTTGTCTTTTCTTGCATTACTATTCCACTTAAATACTATTTGCTCTTACAAAACAAAACCAATTTCACATGCTTAAGTTTTTCTAAATGTTATTCTTTGAATATTTATTTGAATTAGTAATCCATAATGTTTTTATTCCTTCTCAATCATTTTAGCACTGCTTACTTGGTTTTTTACTTATTCCAAATTTCGACCCTAAATCTCTCAAACTAAGCTTTTCAATCTCTGTTATATTAATTGCATCAACTTTATGCTTTAATGTTAAACTTTTTCTCTTTGAAACCATGCTAGATAACATGTATAAAGATAACATACAAGGACAAAATTACACTCCTCAGTTCTAGGAAGAAGTAAGAATGAAGTTTTCAAATTATGCACATCGTAAGATTCCTGTCTTATGGTAGATAGTCTGGTCATTTGACCAACTTTTGTTTCTCACTGGTTCCAGTCTTGGACTGCCTTATAACTTGCTAAGACTGTTTTCTTTTCCTTAATGAGAACTGTAGCAAGAATAACTGGATTTTGAATTTTATGAATTGAAATATCCTTTTGATTGCATCACAACTTGCTTTTCCTCAATACATTGTTCCCCTTTTCCTTACAGTTAAGCTGTGTTCAAAGCAGTAGGATTAATTTTTCATTTAATTGCTCCTTTGTGATTTGTCACAAACTACCTTTTACTGAGCACAAACTTGCCTTAGAAGCTTCAAAAGATTGCTATCAAAGAGCATTTCTTTTTTATTTATTTCTATCTTATTTTCTAAACTTTAAGTGTCCTTAATAAGAGGTAAATATATTAAGGTTCCTATTCAAACAGACCCACACCAACAGAATTGTCTCTTATTCGGAGGTGTCCCTTACAGAGGTAGTACTGTATATGTATATGACTGCTGTATTTTCAATGTAATCAGGCGTGTTGTTAAACTAGATTTTCTTAGCCATCGCATTTTATGCTTTAAATGGTAATTTTTAGTTTTTTAAGTTATGTATTTGTGCAAGGCTGTTTCATATTGGGGTAAGCACATTTTTTTTTGGCATAGGCAGTAAAATCTCACAAACAATAAAAGAAAAAAATGAAAACACAAGCAGTGTTTCCATTTTTTCTTTTATCTTTAATTGCTCAAAAGGTCATGGGGAATGAAACATAATGCAGTTCTCTTGCATTATTCAAGTTTCAATGTTTCAGATTATTACCCCTTGAGAAGTTGTTCGGGAGGCACTGAAATATGAATGCTGTAAAATTTAGTATAAATTTTAATGATTGATAAGCTCAATTATAGTTAAGAATTTTTATTCAAAAATAGTATGGGATCATATTAACTTCTGTTTCATGTTTTGAAAAGTTAACAGATTTCTTTTAATACAATTTTAGAATTTTTGTAGGATGGTTTAATCTACTTCTACTAATTACTAATTTAAGGTTTATATTATATATATTAAATAAACTTGTTCTTCAAGATACACTCAACCATGCAATAGCTTAAACCAGCATAATTTAAGAATTATGTTCTGTCATAATAGAATAATACTACATGCAGGCAGACATGAAGTGGAAAACCCACTGCATCTGAACTTTTGAATTCCTTGTTAAGAGTTATGCATGTTCACTATTTTCTTAATTAATAAATGATTTGGGGGCCCTCTTGAACAGCAGGCTACTCACAACTACAACTTATACAACCACCATAAATCGACCTTTGGTACCACATATAAAAAGCAAACTGCATACTTACAGTTTTGATCTGAATCCTCAATTAGAATACGTAACTTCTGTACACAGAGCTGAAAATAAATTAATATAGAAACACTATAAGTACTTCAGCAAACTTAGAAAATGTAGATTTCAATAAGCAAATAAAGGAGGTTAATGCATTACATTAGAATAAACTTCTTAGTGAAAGGAATTTGAATATGTCAGAGACCTTAAAAAGATGACAATATTTTAATGAACTTCAGCAGATTTAAGAATTATAAGCTTAATATTCTTTATCTTTCACGCAGAGACAGTAAACTCTACATTCTCAGCACATATGACAGGAAATAAACAATTCATATTTATGAGATAATGGTAGACACAGTTGCAAGAACATTTTTATACTTCATCCAATATGTGTAAATAAAATTATTTTACCCTTCGTCACATACTTAATATTAACAATATTCTAAATCAGAGTAATGAGCATACAAAATATATTTTCTTCTAAGAAAAATCATATAACTAAACAACAAAATATCATCGCAAGATAGATATATGAATGTGAGATATGAATTGGTATCATTAAAAAAGCACACAAATAAAACATACTCCCTTCTAATGAAGCGGAAAACGTTTACGTTCATTTTCCATACATATATTGTGCTGCATGCCAAAGTTCTACCCATATTTAGTCATAAAGGTAATTTAACATGATTTACCTGGGGTTTCACATAGCTGCACTTAATATCAATTCAGTAATTCTTACTAAGTAATTAAAGCAATACCAGGCTGGAGCTGTCATGACAAAAAAATCACACCATAATGACTGAAAAACACTGGCTGCAAAGCTCTTCCTATCTGTCGAACTAGTGACACTAGAGATAAGCATTAATTGTTTGGTTAGGTGAGAGTACATCGCAGCAAGTTATTCTTTCGACATTTTACCATACACTTAACAAACTCTTTCAGAGAATCAATTAGCTTTTGGAGGCAAATAGTAGTCTTTTAATTTAGATTTAGTACACATTACTTACATGTTGATTCAAATACAATACCTGTTTCTCTTTCCCCATTACAACTCACTATCAGAATATTTCACTTTTGTAATAAAAAGCCAAAGAATAACAGGCTCTAACTGTCTTTTTTTAACCTTTGCAGAAAGCTGGTATGAAACATATGGACTAAACTCTGGGATGAACCCAAGCATTTGCATCCATTTTTCATCTGCTTTACTGTGTACAAATAAAGTTTCTTGTACTTTGAAGATTAAGTAGATGTCAGGCATTTGCTATAGCTTGGTCTTGCATATGTCCAGAGCATGGGGTAATCTTTCACATTTGTGCCAGAATTTCCGTAACAAATGCTTGCAACACTTGCTTTCATTCATTCCATCCTCCTCATGTACTTAATAAATGTTGCAGCAAACTATAACTGCAGGATTGCCTTCATCAAGTTTTTACAGTATATAATGCCCAATATGTTCCTTATCAAACCATTGCACTCTGAACCATTAAATGCATGAAATACTCCGACAGATTCAACACTTTTATATACTCTATAGTTTATGGGTCAAAGATAGTTGCAGCATCATGTGATGTAAATAATCTAATCACAATCTGAATTTATAAAACAAGGAGGACTTTTGTATATACCCAATAATGCAGGGAAAAGATAATGAATAAAATTGAAAGCGCAATTTATTTTTTTCTTGCCGAGTTATATGATACTTTTTCGACAGCTCGTACCACATTCATTTTTCATGAAATAATAATGTATTTTTTTCACGTGTAAAATTAGTTGTTGATCAGTACAGAAAGCACTGTTTGCAATACAAACATTGTGTAAGTCATGTTTAAAATGCTGTATATCCTTTGATCTCCTAATATATATACCTGGTGTTCCAGTATAGCTGGAAAATATTTCTGTACTCAAATATGAATTGGAATCATGGCTATTCAGTGTTCAAAATGTCATCTTCACACAGTAAATAACATCATATAGGTGCGAGACTAAAAACCATCACAGGAAGCCACCATTAGCAAACCCCTCGCAGAGGTAATAAGATGGCCAATTACATGAATATCAAACTAGCTGATAAGCATCATGCATACAAGGCTACAGACCACAATGGGCAGCTCTGCACATGTATCAGGAAAAGTCCTGGCAGGTGTATCCCCAAAACACACCTAACGACTAGATGTCTGCATTACTGCATCGTCAATGATGTGAAAGCGGTTCCTTCCAAAGACCTGCTATGAACTATGATGAGCATTGACCCTGACATAGAGAAGATTCTGCTCCTTCATTCTTCCTGAGCAGTCCATTAAGTTGGTCATCCCTATTTCACTGTATGGAATATCCTGAACAGAAATCAAACTGCATTCATAACATGAGCACAACCTCCAGTTCTCATAGGCCTGATAATTACCCACAACAGGTTACATTTGTACAGTGGTATCTTTAGAAGAGTGTGATGTTATCTTATTTCCTGCTTCTGTGATCTTTACTGACAAGGCAATGTTTTACATGGGATGGCAGCTTCAGACCTCAGAACACATGTGTATAAAAACTGGAGAGCCCTCCTGCTACATGAACATGTGGAAAGGCTATTTCTCGAGGAAACCTAGACAAATCTTGCTCAATGGAATGTATTTTCACCATAATGGGAGCCCTGCCAATTTCAGCAATGATGTTCATTATCATTTTTATTACATTTGGACAATGTTAGATATAGCCTGGTGTTCCATTTCGTTGGCCTGCAAAATTGCCTGACCTATCCTGCCTTCATTACTTTTCTGGTGATCATCTGAAAGCTCTGGTGTGTGACCCTCCCAAGGACAACTTTGATGATATTATGGCACCCATCTTTGTAGATGTTATGGGCATCGATGATACACCTTAAGAATCTTACAGAATGCAAGTGATACCATATGCCAATGATGTCAGAAATGCATTACAGTTCATGGGTGCAGCGCTGCCAGATGATGTGATTTTTTGGAAATTTGCTACTTTTGTCAAACCTGTAAGACAAGTTTATGTGTATGTCAATTTGCAAAATTTTTCCATCATTTCCTTTCACTACTTCTTGTGACTTTAAAATTTTTAAACATAAACATTTATATGCCAAAATAGTGTATCAACTAAAATTAATTAATAACACATAAACAATTTATTTAGGCTTATACAGAAGTTCGCATATTGCAATCCTGAAATCACAGAGTAGGCACAAACAGTTTTCAGTGCCAGTTGCAACAATGCAAGAAAGGGTACTCTAAGAGTCATTTCAATCAAAAGTGTAGAATTCCTAGATTCCATATTTCTAATGAAGTTGTCAATGGAAGAAAAATCTTCTGTGTTTACCTTGTAATTCTCACCATGCAGGCATTCATATACCCCAGATTTATATAAAAAGAAAGAAATGAAGATAACAGATAAAAAAAAAATAAGCAGGATGATGAAGAGCTATTGAATTCAATTTTCTATTTGTAAAACATGCACATTTTTGTATGATGTTTCCTCCCTTCTAGGCACAAATAAATTTATTAAGTATGTTATGATAATATGCTCTGTAATATATTTTAATTCAAGTACTAGTTTATTTATATTAAAATAAAGAAAAATTTTATTAGAATTAAAAATATGATCAAACAAAATGGAATAATTTGATATATATATATATTTTTTTTTTTTCATTGTCATGAAATACGGTATCTGAAAATGGCCTATATTTATAAGAACACAAATTAACATTAGCTCTATAAAATAATTACCTGCATAAAAATAAAAATTACCTGGAAATCTGATAAAATTAAATAAGTCAGCCAAATAGAATGAAAAATTCACTGAAAAAGCATTAGCAATTCAAAGAAAGCAGAATATAATGAACTGGAACTCCAAAAGAAAAAGGAACAGCCAACTCAAATTACCAGAAAGATGCTAACAGTCCAAAAACACTTAATAAATATGAAGAAATTAATTTAAAATAAAAAAAAAATAAATTAACTCAGGATTAATTAAAAGTAAAATATGAATGCTTAAACAATGGATAAATTAGCACCATACTTTTAAAATTTTCGGCAAAACTCAGATTCGTAATTAAAATCACTAAGAATCGAATTACAGTTCATAATTTACACAACGAATGGAGACTGAACTTGTCATGACGTCAGAAGTCATATGAACATACATAACTATGGTATTACCAAAATCCCATGATCTCAAATGCCATGTGCTACTTTTTGTGACTTTCTGATTCTTCTCTTGCTACTTTAGTTGTAAAATTTTAGGCAACATTGCATGGGTGCACCTTTGAACACCCATACATCTCTGTGCCTTGATAATTGTACCTATGTTTATTAATACATCACATCTGGGTTGCTTACGAGCTACACATTCATTTCTTGTACTCTATATACACTAATATATTATGTCACCAATTCTCACCATGTCTGAAGTATGATTACAATTCATTTTTGAGCAACATACCCCTCCAAAAAGCTTGCATATTCCGAACAATGAAACCAGTTTTAATCATTTTTTGTTATTGTATATTGTTTTGAATTTTGTATATCTGTAAGTAATTTTTGTGAAATTATGTGTGAAATGTTAGTTTTTTTTTTTTTTTTCCAACATGAAATATAAAATGATTGAAAGAGATGAGCTCTGCAGAAAAACTGAAGTAACTGTGTCACTAAACTAGTAATATATCAACCAGCTGGCAATAGTTTTGACGACTAATTTTTGTCACCAAATTTGGCAAGAATTTTCTAAAAGTCATCAAACTTTGCAACCATTTGGCGACATTTTGTTCTAGCCCCAGTATAACTGTAATTGGTATCTTAATCGAGTAACTGTAAATGATTCCTATATGTAACTGTAACCTTATATGCCTTCCAGTAATTTCAAGAAATGGAAGCAACTAGATATGTCTCGTCAACCAGGGGGAAACTACATAAGATCGGAGAGAACATTAGCTCTCAGATTTTCAGTTGAGAGTCGACTTCTGTGTGAGCCTGGCCCTTTCGATGCACTTTGCATTGTCTTGTATTTAACATTATCGGTAGTTTGAAGTGTAACTACCAATTGTGCTTAGTGATACTGAGAAGAATTGCACAAATATTTTTGTGGAGCAGACAATTTACCTATATTGAAACTGTCAACTATATAACTTCTGTAACTTACTTAATTTACACAGTATTTCAGTCAACAGTTTGGTCTCACTGCACATGCCAAGCTGTTGTTCTTCAGCCTTTTCACTTTTAGTCTACGTATCATTATTATATGCACTTTTAGAATTATTTCTGATGTGAAAAAAACTGTTCATAATTTATTTATTTTTTACTCTACATAGAAGTTCAACAAAAGGTGAACAACTCAACACAGAAATCACAAAGCTTAATATAAATTTAACTAATACAAAATTTACATATCTTGTTCAAATCACATAATTGATATTTTTGTGGCTTTCCGAATAGTACAATATCAGTATTTTATTGACAAGCATACAGCATTTATAACTTACTTGAGGTAGTTTAATAATGATAATTGCATGCTATCATCACTGGTGAAGTTTTTCATCCACAATTCATGCTCAAAAATTTTTGAATTCATTTTTAGAGATTATTTCTAATTTTCTTGCATTTGTATCCAAATGTGATCACAATTTCTTATTTTGGTTCATTTCTCTCTACTACTTTTTTAGCTCTATGAACAATACAAGCTATTTTATAGCATTGATTTCTTTATGCCTTTGAGAAAATACATGCCATCTGTAGTCACATTTTACACTATGTACAAGTAACAAGTCTTTGTCGCTAGTGCAAAGTGCATGATTTTCACATGCTTCAATGCATGGAAATTCTGTAGAAGATGAGCCTTTAAATCTCCACATTTATAATTTTTGACCTTAATCTGAGACAGCATACTTCAAGCTTAAAAAATTTCCAGTTTAGTCACAATTCACAAGAAGCACGTGCTATATTTTATCAACGTAACACATGCCCTTATTGCACAGTGCTTATTTGGACAGATAAGGATTGGAATTTGATGAACTACAGTTTGCTTCAAAATCAGTAAGACCATCAAAACATGTGATATATGATGTCAAGCATTTCACGAATCATGCAATGAATAAACTGGCTCCATTCTGCATACCATTTCCCCAATCCCCCCTTTCAGCAAAATCTGTGAGTCCCCCCCCCACACGGCTTGCAGATCTTAAGGAGTTTCTGCAGAAACTATGGAGAATCTGTAGCAAATGGGGCCTATACTTAAATCACTGTTTACTAATAGTCTGGTTGAAAGAGCATTAAAAAGTCTTGAAACCAGACTGAAAATTCCATTTTACACATGCTGAAATTCAGAAGTTAGTTTCCTTTACTAAAGTTTGAGCCAAACAAATTTTATGTTTGTAATCATTATTACTAAACTGAAGGACTAGATATGGGTAATCCCCTCAGCTCAATATTTGCTTATATTTACATGCATTATTTTGTGACCAATTATTTAGAAAATCTTTTTGGTTCTTGATTCACTATGTAGATGACATATTCACACTTTTTGATGATAATAAAAGAGATTTAGTCCAGATTTTATCTGTTATGAGTTTAACTGTTCCAGCTATCCAGTTCACTTTTGAAATTAAATCGGTAACTGCCTTCCTTTCCTTGATATTCTAATTATGTGCAATGAATTTGATTTCAGCAATACCATAAACCTTTCTCTCGTTGCCTCGTCAATGTAATGTCATGTCATCCTGCTAAGCAAAAAATAGCTTCTGTTTTATGTACATTGCAGTTTCAAAGTTGTTCTTCAGAAGTGTTCTGTCTCATGAAATCAAATGTTTAAAATTAGTTACTACGACAGAGGATTTTTTCTCATGGACACTGATGAACTTCATCTAGCCCTCAAAAAAGATATTTCACTGTTACAAATAAGATTTATAACCCTGTCATGATTCCTTATCATCCTCCTATCAGTTATGAAATTGCACAGATTCTCCAGAAAATCAATTTTCAGATCAATTTCTCATCTATCAATAAAATTCATTACTTGCTTCTTAAAGATTCTCACTCTGACATTTAGTCTTGTGAATTTATAGCGTATCTTGTTGGTGTGCTTTGCTTCAGCTAAACTAAATAAGATGTTAATATTTCATGTCAAGAAACATGAAACTTATGTTCCAAACGGAGAAACAAAGCACTGTTGGAATCTTAATTTTGACTTTGGAACCCCAAAAATTATCCATAAAGCTTTTTCAGTTAATAGACTGGATTTAATTGCAGCTCTTCACATTCAGAAAAATTTATCTTTAGTTAATATTATTTCCAATCCAGTCTTTCCTATCCGTTTTAGAATTCTAGTATCATAGTTTTCCACACCCTTTTTTAAGTTTTTCTTAACAGATGCTGATACTTTCATGTTCATTTTGTTCAACTCATTACTTTGAAATAAATAAGTTTGTAATTATCCCATTTTGCAGAATATTTTGGTCCCGAAGAAGATGGACCAGTGTCCAATTGCGCTTGAAATCAAGGCCCATATACGGTTGCCATTTTGCTTGATTCTAAAAAATTAAGAAAATTTATATCCAATTCATGAATATCGACAGTGCTTTTTTGAAAATGAAATGTGCAACATCTTGTGATGCAAGCATGTCACAAAGTCCATCTCTTTTTAGAACAGCAGAACCATATCACCACATATTGCAGCATCATTATGTTTTTTGACCAGTTTTGTTACAACCTGGTTATAATAAACCTCAAAAGCTTACCTATAGGATTTCTGAAAGGTACATCACTGCTATAACGCTTGCTACCTTATCCACTGTGCTTCTAACAAATTAAGCGCAAAACCTCCTATGACTGAAACAACTTGTAAGTACACTTTCACAAGGGCGCATACATAACAATATGCCATATGTATTTATTAATATGTACATAAAAAGAAAAAATTACCTGAATTGATGCAGAGTGGTTTGGCATTCCAGATGATATTGAAATTAATACTGAAAGCAAAGTAATTGTTTTATCACCAGTTAAAAAAGTAAATACGAAATGAAAAAATTTTCCTTAAAATACACTTTAAGTCAAATCATCAGACATACTTTCATCATTACAAATGATTTATTTAAAGCAAAAAATAACAGCAAATTAATAGAAAAACCAATTACCAAAAATTATTTGATATATTGAATATAGCAGTAAATAATTACAACCTGCATGTTAAATCAGAAATACACTTACAAAAGTGTAGTCTGTCAACACATTTCATCTCTCCGGAAAATTACATTAGATTTAATGCTGTTTCTTGATTTCTTTTATGTGATTATTTTTTTAGAAAAACACTGAAACTGGTTTCATGTCAAAGGATTATGATTACAAAATTCATATGAAAGGTTTTTATGATTACAAAAAGAAAGAAAATAAATGCATTTTTAATACATCACTGAACAATAAAAAGTTCCCCCTTAACTTTCCATAACAAGTACTAAGCTAAGCCATACTAATACTCATATTTATTCTCTGCAACACTTACAAAAACCCTCCAAGTACAGAGTGAGCAAAATTACACATTTTTTCCCTTAAAAAAAAAAAAAAAAAAAAAAAAATTATTTAGCTCCTTTTACAGAAAAATTTCATTCATTTTTATTAATACATTGTATCAATCAAAAGTCTGACAACCTTCCTCCCCTATTAAACTGGATTTAGTTGAAGCAACTTTGCTTCCATCCAACTTTGAACTTATAAATTCTACCACTGGCAGAGTTGGTAAAAGTCACCCTGGAAATGCTATATAATAGCAAGCAGAATACCAATACAGACCTATCTATTATCCGCATAATAGTTAATGTTATGTTTGTAATTACATATGTTATAATTAATAAAGTTTTTTATTTTAGAAGGAAATTTCTTCCAATGCTGCTCCAGCACAACAATTCACATATATCAGACTGTGCACATTAGTGAATTGTGCTGATTACAGGTCATGTCTTTCTAAATTTTATTTACATCTCTCACTTTATTACATGAAATATGCATTGTTTGCTCAAAAATAATTAAAACACACACACTTTAAGAATTATTTCAAGATGTATTGAATGTGAAACTACTGCATATTTCAAATATAATTAAACAAAAAATACTGTCATTACAAGACGAAAATGTGATGGACAGGTAAAATACAGAGATTACTTGAAGAAGAAATGGACTCTTTTAAACTGCATTGAAACCTTTTATAAAAAATACCATATATCTACCAGCAAAATAACTTTCAAAATATATTTTCATGCTCTTAAACAATGGGGGAAAAAAGAATAACTAAATAAATACATTATTTCCATCCCAACTGTGAGAATTACTTGAAATTAATTTCCTATGGTAACTCTGCGATTACATTTCACACATGAGCAACTGGTTTCACATCATCACAAAATGTGCTAAAACTAAAATTTTGGGTTATTAATTCCCCCCTTTAGGAATTTGCCCTTTTATCACATTTTTCATTTGTAGCACCATAAAAATCTTTACTGGTACTGTTTTTTCAGGTATTTCTTACTTCTCGTCATTGATGTAAACCCACTTGTGCGCTGTGTGAACAAACAAACCAGCTGCAAGGAGCATTTAAGTTAGAATGCAACACCTGGAAAGTTGTGAAAAAGTAAATAAAATTTTGACACATGCACATAATTTCGAAAATAATTTATCACACACATTTGAAATTAGTATTAAAAACGGTGGCATGCACATGCACCAAAAAATAAAGCCAAAAATTTGCAGAGGATCAGGATTCATCTTTATTGCAAGATAAGAGAGTAAATGCAGAAAGTGTTAAATATCTTTAATAAAATTACTTCTTCAATCAAAATATGTTACAAATAAAATGCATTTTTGTTAAAAATTTTATTTTCATATTATGCACAGATAAAAATTGCCATTACACCTGCCATGCTGAATTTTATGAAAATCGGTGTTTCACTGTGGATTAGAGTAGTTTCAGTGTGGATTAGAGTCATTCACAGATTAAACGATCTCAGATTATTAAAATTCTACTGCATTACATATATTCTCTCTAAATAGCAATTCAAAGACGTTTCAAAGTTTCTTCAGAAATGTCGCTGGAATTCACCATTCACAGCATTTTTACAGTACATGTTTATATACATCATGTCCACAGAAGTCCTTCCTTTATATTCACAGCCATTGGTCATAAACACATATTTCCAACTATAAAAATGTTTTAAGCAAAACTAGTAGTCCTGTTTTTCATTTTTAACCCGTAACAGGGAAGGTCAAATCTCGTTATAGCTTAAATAAAATGTTCTAATCAAAATATTAAAATTTTATTTTACCCATACATTCTATAAACACTTATCTTCGAACAGAAAAAAAAAAAATATTTTACAAAGAAGTCAATCAGCACTAGGAACATCTTTTCTGCAACATGAACTTTTTTTATAAAAAACCACTTGCAAATGTAAATTATGAAAGAAAAAAAAAAAAAAAAGAATAACTATTATTTTTTATAATAATGATTTCCATTTATTTAACATGCGATAGATACATTCAGATGAAAAATACAAATATTGTACGAAACATAAAAAAAAGGACACTACCTTACTATCAGTAATAACATTGTGTTCTTGCAAAAGACATCAACTTACTCAGCATATTCTTGGGCGCATTAGTGACATAAATTTTGTGCACATACCAAACAAAATGGCGTTTTACAACTTACACATAAATACAAAGTTTTCAGTTCTTTCTTTTTCTCTAATATTTCGTTTGCGAAAAGGACTTCCCGAACGCTTTTAGAATCCGTATTTTCACCCAATTTTCCATATTCCCTTAATCCTGCAAGATGAACTATATTATGCGCGGGAGTTCTCGCATTTCATTGAGGTTTAATAGATGACCACTTGAAGCATAATAATATTTTATACATGAAATGGATTCAGTCTCTGGTTCAGTGCATTCATTGTCAGATTCAGAAAATTCTGATGTCGTGGAATGCGAAATTTCATTTGCAAAATCTTCTTGGCATTCACCTACATTGCTAAATTCACTTTCCATGTCATCAAGAATTCTTTACAGCACTTCTGCATAATGCGAATTAGAAGGATATATAATATTTCTCGGACCGAGTCTCAGAGCCATGAGAGGGAGGTGCGGTCTGACATACCGCTCTCAGACAAAGGGCTAGAATTTCACAATGAAGCAGGTACAACAAATGTTAGCCAATGGATGAGAATTATCAAAGTCACAAAAGGAGAAGCTAGCAGGAGAATCCACTTAATCAGACTAAATATAGAATAGCGGTGATAGGAACAACACCTATAGCGGTCTCTGAGACCGCACCTCCCCAGTTACGGGTTAAACCCAACAAATCAATTTACTAAAAATATGAAATTTAATTTTAATACATTTTCCTAGCCCCTACACTTACTTTTAGTAAAAATTTATAATTATTCTAAAAAATAAAATGCAAAAAGTTTAACTTCTGAATTCCATACAACAAAAACTGCCCAATAGATTCAGTTTTAAAGCTTGATATTTTTATGGATTTTACACCAAAAGAAAATCAAATTTATAACCCTTCTTAAGAGGTTGGCTAAAAAATACACTAGGATAAATGAAGGTTGTTTCTACTTAAATTAGAATAATTAAATGCTAATCCTTTATGCCTTACTAATGAGTGCATGTAAATTGTATCTAATTTTATGTGTTTCTATCATAAGTTCTTTTTGTAACTACTACTAAAGTAAGTTTGTGGTTTGAAATGAAGACTCCATTTTTCGCCTGGATTAAATCACATTTTTAGAGGAGTTTGTCAAGCTGCCCACCGCAAAGAAGACAAAAGGGAAAGTTTACCTTTCGACATATTTTACTGATCTTCTAAACCATTTAATGATGCTCCAGTGTGGGCGGGCTTGAATGATTTATTCATTATATTATTGTAAGATAAGTTATAAGGTCTAAAAAGAGAAGGTCTAAAGAAATTACATACACCTTTAAAAAGTGCTTTTACAAGTATATAAAATAAACTGGCAGACTGTTTAGGAAAAGAAGTCTGTGATATAGAAAAAATCGAAATCCTAATGACACAGTTAGATGAAAAATGGTTGAAACTTGATTTGTGCAGAAAAAGAAATAATAAAAGTGTTATCTGATGATCCTAAATATTCTCAGAGTGACTTTGATAAAGAGTACGAGGGTAGTACAATATATAGTGAAAGATATGTCAGGCTTAGAACTAAAGTACGAAGAATAAGGAATAATACTAATTTGGGGAATAGCAGCGCTCTTAATGCTACAGTTCAAAACCGGAGGTTTAAACTGCCAAATATCGAATTTAAAACATTCAGTGAAGATGTTAAGGAATGGTTGGTCTTCTGGGGTCAATTTAAGAAAATTCATGATCATCAGAAATTAAACCTGAAGTTAAATTTCAATATTTAATTCAAGCCACTGTTGAAGGTTCGCATTCTAGAGATATTGCTGATTCTTTTCCCCAGTCGGCTCACAATTATTACCAAGTAATTGAATGTCTTAAAGCACAATTTGGCAAAGAGAATCTTCTCATAGAATTGTATGTGAAAGAATTGTTGAGCTTAATTTTGAACAAGTCATTGAGCTGAAACAAAGCAACATGTCTCGCGAAGCTGTACGATAAAACTGAAACTCATTTGAGAGCACTTAAGACATTAAACATCACGTCTGACAAATACGCATGTATGCTATACCCTCTTGTTGAATCTTGTTTGCCGGAAGATGTTAATAGAGTATGGGAAAGAGTATGGGTTTACATGAAACTAGTAAATCATCAAATAAACTTACTACTTTAACGAACCTTCCAAAATCCAAAATAGAGGGTGAAGAGAGAATATTGCTGGGCAAGGAAGATTTCGGTTTGAAAGTAAGGTAAAACACTCTACCCTCCCACCATCTGCTAATGAAATGCAAAACATTCCTACTGCCGTTGGACTTTTCGAAGCTACAGACACTGGGA